AGATTGTAAATGGATCTTTGTATGTGAAAAATTCCGTGACACTGTTAATAGTGGACAAAGGGACTTACAGTTCGAGGCTCCCTCGTGATCTATATGCCGCTCTCCTTTGGAAGGTCCAGGATCGCAAGAGTGTCCCCGGTGGTGTAGCAGGCTGATCAATTGGAGGTGCGCATCCGTATGGCCACCCACGGACTCGGCTGGCCGGGCCGAGCCGCGTCGGTCATCCCCCCTCATGTGAGCGGCGGCCTATCACCAGGCTCAACGAAACCACACTCCTCCCCCCTGTTTCATTTAAAAACAGTCAAATCTCCTGTGATCTCCAGCATCTTTTAGGCTTGATAAAGAGGGATTCCTCGAAACGCGTAGCCACTGGAGACACCCGACCACCAGAGACCTCCACCACCTGAGACCTCCACCGCCCACACCGCTACCGATCCAGACCAACGACGCACGGCGTGCCCTAGCCGCGTGTAGCTCCTCCCCACTCTTCCGTCTTTGACCGACGCGGCTCGGCCTGGCCAGCCGAGTCCGTGGGTGGCCATACGGATGCGCACCTCCAATTGATCAGCCTGCTACACCACCGGGGACACTCTTGCGATCCTGGACCTTCCAAAGGAGGGCGGCATATAGATCACGGGGGAGCCTCGAACATTAAGTCCCTTTGTCCACTATTAACAGTGTCACGGAATTTTTCACATACAAAGATCCATTTACAATCTGTACTGCATATACCTATCCACGTCCTTTTTGGTAGTCGCGCTCCTGTCCTGCTTTGTCCATATCTGCAATTTTGAATAGACAGGGTCCTCTCCCTGTACCGAGGAGCTGCTGCACACCCTTACACAATAGTCACCTAATTGTAGTGTGCCCAAAGGAGTGCGCTTTATCCTTTTTTGTATTTTTCTGTAGGTACCCAGGTACATGGGGACTGAGATAAGGTTCAGTATCACCACTTGTTCTGTGTAAGGAGTCTGTTGCCAGTACATTCATTACTGGTGCACAGTCATCTGCACAGCTGATAGAAATCTATTGTTTGGAGAATTTTGTTTTATGAAGTACTGCATTGCTTGTCTGTTGGTGCTGATATCTGATATTCTGTGTCCAGTAAAACTTCTTAAACCAACTCAAGGTGTGCTGGTGTGCTGTGGATTCATGGTAGAGGTTTCTTATAGAGGAAAGACAGGGAGACCCGTTAGTTCAGTTTATTGTAGATCACCCCTCAGAGCCACCAGTAGTGTTATCCTATATTTGGATAGCGCTGACTGGGGAAGGGGGAGCGCTACACTAATCACTCAACTTAAATGTCTTTCACTGGCCTAATCAAATGCCAGACATCAATCAACTATGATTCTGTGACAAGACTGGACAAGAATGGGACAAGCTGGAACACTCTGCCAAGAAGAATGGATAACCATTGCAGGATCCAGATGTGGCAGCTGGCAGAGATTTGCCCCAAAAGGCTTCCAGCTGTAGTATTAGCTAAAGAGGGGTCTACCAAGCATGACCTCTGTGGTTGAATACATGAATATTTGGTTGGATGCAACCAACAAATGTCCGCTTATTTTGTTTAAACCCTTTAAGTTTAAACAAAACACGGGGCTGTTAGCTGTGGCTGAGGATTCCTGCCACAAGAGTCCCAGGTGCGGGTCCATACAGATGCAGCCTCTGTGTCCATTCAAGTGAATGACAGGCTGACAGCGGCTGCATCTGTCTGTGGATGTCCACATGTAATGCTAGATGGAAAAATTACATGTGATTCAGGAAAGATGCTTGCCCCTGAAAGCAATCTGTCTGTGCTCGTACAAATAAATGACAGGCTGACAGCGGCAGCATCTGTATGGACCCACCAGAGATTCCTGGCACAGGAATCCAAAGGTTCTTGCTGCAAGAATCCCTGCAGATAATAGCCCTGTGTGCATGAGCCCTAAAGCTGAACTCTGAGGAGATCTAAAATACAGAAATGAGTGCAGCTCTGCATTCCTAATTACATGTATTCTTTTTAATACAATCAATGTAAGTACCTGAAGTTAACCTGGTATCAGCCTCTTGCAGTTCCTGTATAGCAGAGCTTGCGTGCGAGGGGCAGAAGAACGCTGGACGTCGGGATTGACCATGGATTACGTCAGTGGATCCATTTTTTGGTGTTTTGTTTTTTAAATAAATGATTTTTGATTACAGTCTGGTGTGTTTATTTAATCTTTTATTTAACCCTTTCGTGAATGGGAAGGGGTGCAAGTACCCTTTACTCATTCACAAGGAGGGGGGCGCAACTGGGTGCCCCTTTATTAAAGGGGTGCCCTCATGTGGATAAGCCCCCTGCCCGCACCCCCACAACCAACGCCCCAGGGCTTGTGGTAAAGAGGCCCTTGTCTCCATCGGCATGGGGGCGACCCTGGAAAAGCACCCTTCCAGTGCCAAGGGCATGTGACCTGGTATCCCAGGGAGGGGGGGGGGGGGGGGCACCCCCCCCCCCCCCCCCCCTTTTTTCT